GCATTCTTTTAATTCATATCTTCTCATGGAAAATGTCACCACTTTTTCTGTCTCATCCTTGACATTTCAGGTCTCCTTAAAATTACTATTAGCAAAGTGGGTTAGAAACTAAACCCCCAGAGGCATATGTATTGTGACAGTCTACATAGAAAAGTGATAATGGCAAAAAAAGAACTTTTATTGCAAAATACAGTGCTTTCTACGCCAAACCCATACACCTGTGTTAAGTCATAGTTCTGTGAATTATTTAGCAGTCACTTACTATTTCTGGGATTTATTTTCTTCATCTGAAGATGAGGATATTTTTGCATACTTCATAGCATTGTTATCAGATGAGATATAATACCAGTTGTGTGTTTTTTAAAAAAGCCATAAAGAGACTAACATGAAAGATAGTAACAGTGATTGTGGGACAAGTTTATTCCTGTAACTTCACCTTTCCTTAAACTTTTATGAGGTAACATTTATTAGGCTGATATGTATGTCCAATTCAAAATCATCAAAGTAACATAGAACCTAGATACTGTATTGGTTAATTGGTGATAGTGTAGATAATAAAAATATCTTTACAACTAAATACACTAAATTACTCCAAGGTCAAAATCTTTACCCAAATTCCTAACTTAGTCGTAGACAGGCAATCTGGTAAAGCAAAAAAAGTAAACTGGGACTTTGTAGACCTTCATTCCAGAACTTAACTGTTAAGTGAAGATGGGCAGACCATAGAACTCTTTGGTCCCAGATTATTTATGTGTAAAAATTTCTGGATTTTTAGGATTTTATAATTTAGTATAAACAGGAAAGAGGGAGGTTTTCTGTGGCTACTGATGAAAGATGTAATATAATTTTTCTTCATTGTTTAGTTCTATGCAACATACTTTTATCTAGCACTGACTTTGTACAAAGGACTCTACTAGGAATTGTATGTAATTAAAACATTAAAATGTAGTTCCTGTCTTGTCAGAACTTGTGATATATCTACAAGAGGTAACCACAATGCTACTTAGAATTTAAGTGCCTTGTATAGGCTCAAATCAAGGCCAGTTGGAGTGCCGGCTGAAAAGACAGGGGAAAGAAGACAGAGAGAAGATGGCATTTGGCTGAATTTTGAGGGCTAAATCCACTTCACTGAGATTTGTTACAGGAAGGCATTCCAGGTGGAATAACAGACTTGAGCAATATAGCAGCAGAAAAGCTCTGGAGAAATACTGTACACTAACCTACAGCATACAAAGTATGAGAGCTAGTGGCTGAAGTTAAAGCAACAAAAGTAGGTTCTTTCCAGATTATGGAAAAACTCAGCAATAATCCAAGGAAGAGCTTTTCCTGTGTTTTACATAAAGTAAATATAAGTGACATCAAATAAAAATCAATATGACCTGTCCATTGGTTAGACATGGATATCAAGTGAGAGCAATAAGCAAAAGTATGTTCCAACATAGTGTATTGGTGAGGCCAGTTTACTCTATTTGTGATTTGTTGTTGTCTTATTTTGCCTTATTGAATTTGAAGTGCTTGTGCAAAACCAGGTGAAAATACCTGTATAGTAGGAAGTTGGCCTTGTGTGTGAGGAGCCTGGAAAAGATGGATACTTTTGCATTATCCATAGTGAGGAATTAGAAGCCTCAGGATTAGATGAGGTATTCAAGTTAGAAACAAAAGAAGAAAAAAAGGTCAAGGACTGACCTAAGTTCCTATAAAATGTTCCCTAGGAAGAGAAATTTATCAAGAATACAAGTCAAAATAGGATGAAACCAGGATAGTAAAATGACAGTTGTTTTATTTGTTTGTTTCTTTGTTATTTAAATCAGGACCCACCTACCATGTGCCAAACATTGTGTTAAGCTCTTTAGATACATAATACAAATAAATTCTCATAGCCACCTTGAGAGCTAAGTATATTTATCACAATGTATAGATGAAACCTAAGTACAGAAAGATTAAATATAGAATAACAACTAAATGGAAAATCTAAATTCAAATACAGATAGCTATAATAATACTTATGACAATACCTGTAATAATCCTGCCTCTGTAGCTTGCTGTATGTGGTAGGGGACAGTTTCAAGGAGAATGTAATTGCCCATGTCATGTAATGTAGAGAGCTCAAACACGATGGACACTCAAAAAGAAACTTTATAGTTAGTTTCTGTTAATATATATCATTTCAAAGTAATCTCCATAAAACATTCTACATAAAAGCCAATGGAATACAGCAGTTCTAAAGGTTTGTTCAAGGAAAGGTGAGAAAATAAAAGTAACTGAGCCCTTGTGAGAAGTTTAATAAAGGAAAGAGATGGTATTGCAAAGATGTATAAAGATTGAGAAAAGAATATTTGGTTAAATGATTGGCTTAGTTATTTTGTTTTGTTTTTGTTTTATTTTAGTAAGAGGACTTTAACATGCTTACAGACTTAAGGGAGAAATCCAGAGGAGAAAGAAGATTCAAATTATTGAAGAAAAAAAAAAAAACAAAACAATGGACAGGGCAAGGTCCTACAGGAGGGGATAAGAAACAGAATCAATAGCATGCCTTAGAAAGAAAGAGTTCATCTAGAAAAGAAAGAGTAGTGTTTTACAGAGAAATGAGCTTGAGACAGGAAGAAAGTTAAGAGAACGTGCAGCAGATGTCCTGTATTTTCTCAGATAAGGAAGATGCAAAGTCATATCTTAAGGCAGGTGGTATCTGGTTGTGTGGCCTGGAAAGCATTTGGAATCCTTCCCACAGAGAAAGGCATAAGGAGGAGTCAACTAGAGGTGAACCAAAGAATTTCTGCACAACCCAGAGTGTATACTAATAATAGAGTCAAAAATTTCTGATTGAGCCAATTGGCACAATTTTGTGACTTTTTCTGGTAACATTCAGCTACCCAGTTAATGAGATCAGAGAAAGTGCACGATGCTGTTTTCCTAGATGAGGCTTGGGAAGGTCAAGGTGAGAGTAGGTGAAAGGGACTTCTTGATGCCAATAGGAAGTTACATGAAATATTCAGCAGTTGATCCAGACTGGACCTAAAGAAAGCTGAAAAAAAAAAAAAAAAAGTTAAAAGGAATTAAAGATTTAACCAGTGTGAAGAACAGCTTCATTAAAAGAGGAGAAAAAATGATAGGTGGTATGGCCATGCAGGGAATCTCCAGATTCAAAATTTTAGAAATGAGATAGTTTTCTTTAAATATTTATTTATATTTGAGAGAGAGAGAGAGAGAGACAGAGCATGAGCATGAGCATGAGCAGGGGAGAAGTTGAGAGAGACTGAAAAAGAATCTGAAGCAGGATCTAGGCTCTGAGCTGTCAACACAGAGCCCAATGTGAGGCTTAAACCCACAAGCTGTGAGATTATGACCTAAGCTGAAGTCAGATGCTTAACCAACTGAGTCATCCAGGCGCCCCAGAAATGAGATAGTTTTAAGTGATCATTGTTTTTGCATCTTCACTTGAGCTGTCATTAATCATCATGTCACTCAGCTGTCCCATTACTTACTAGAAAATGGAAGACCAAGAGGTCAAGTGATTTTCAAAAGTCATTCCATGAATAAATCCAGGATCTTTTGAGGAGCATTTTGAAATTTTAAATAAAATAATAACCATTAAATAATATCCCCTTAAAAAATAATGGTAGATATAGTGAGTGAATGGAAACTAATGTTGTCCATAATATAGTCACAGTCAGCATGTAGTATACATATATTTCATATTTCAAAAGTGTATTATGTTACTCCTCCCTCTTCCTCTTAAAGAAGGAAAATAGAAATTTTCTCCAGATTGAATGAACAGCTTATCAATATGCTTTGGGGGAACTAAGCCTAAAAGAATGTGCTACTGACTGCCATCCTAAATTAGAGTATAGCTGGCATCAAGTTATTTCAGAGTGCCTGTGTGCATGCCCATGATAATATATGGGGTGCACCATTTTTGCTTCTCCCATATTTCTTATATTTTGAAAATATTCCTTTCTCTTGATTATTGGTGTGTTTTTTATCTTAAACTATAGTAAATGTAATTGGAATGTTTAGGAATAGGAAGGAAATTATGTTATTTATGTTGTTCTGTTTGAACAAATTAGTACAACAGAAGCTTATTGTTTCATATCTTACTATCCATTCCTCTTTTGGCCTTTAGGGAAGGACACAAATTTAAACATAGAAAAAATTAAAGATTTACGTTTGGTGGTCTTTTATTAACACACAGCATATTTTATGTGTAGAAAATATTTTTTTTGCAATAAGTCTTTAATTTATTAAGTGTACCACAAGTTTGGGAAAACTGACTTTCACTGATTCCTTGTTAAACTTGAAATTTTTATTTTGAAGATTCAGTCAAGAAATATTGTTATTCCTCTCAAGCAGTGACTTAACAAGGGGGATGCCATAAGGAAGCTGTTCCCCTGAACTGGGAGCAGTTATTTGGTCACTGACATGGTTTAGACTTGTTGGTACATGGTAATAATAAAAAGCAAACTGAATTTTGGTCAATTCCATTATTGTTCTTGGACTCTCTAGACAGTATACTTGCATTCTGCTTATTTCTAGGATGGACCACTTCCATTCCACCCCCAACCTTGGTATGCTATTGATCTCAAGTTCTTCTCTCTGGATTAAAGACTGACTAAAGTGGTATTAGAGAAGGAGAATTTTATGATCTAAACCAATACAAGTTATGGTACTCAGGCCAAATCTGGTCTTATTCCTGTTTTTGCAAATACAATTTATTATATGTATTTAACACATTTACTTTGACTACTTTTGCATTATAATCATAAAATTGAGTCGTTGGAATAGAGACCATATAGCCCTCAAAGCCTAGTATATTTACCGCCAGGCCTTTATGGAAAGAATTCCTTGACCTTTGATCAATAATTAAAGCATCATTTGCTTTTTGGACATGAAAGCAAGACAATTATTTAACATTCATATTGTAGACCAGTAAGTTAACAAGCATCTTTGTTAAATGTTACCATTGACCAACTTTATATTTACCTATGTTTTTCTTTGTTTTGTAGTCCCTGCTATGTGGATATTTGTTAGCAATGACTGATGTGGAAACTACATATGCAGATTTCATTGCTTCAGGAAGAACAGGTAGAAGAAATGCAATACATGATATCCTGGTTTCCTCTGCAAGTGGCAACAGCAATGAATTAGCCTTGAAATTAGCAGGTCTTGATATCAACAAGACAGGTAAGTTTGACACACATCTCTCTATGAACCTGGGATGATTTGTAGCATTTTCCTGCATAGGATTAAAACATGAAAAACCACCTTTGAAAATAATTTGGTAGAGTTGTAAACAATCTTAGGTAAGATAAAAGTCAGGGACAATCCCTTAATCACTCCTGTTTCATTTTCAGTGACTTCTCTTTATAGGGCTTCCCACTCAAATGCAGAGTCCTTAATCTGATTTTACTAATGCAATCAATAAAGCACATGGGTTTTAAAAAATCCCAATCTCATAAAAACTCTGAAATTTCTATATAAAATATTTAATGAAGTTGGAGCTCCAACCTTTGACAGTATTGGCCACCTATAACATTTCAATAACCATTTCAAAGAAAAAGGATCTCCAGGACCAATTCTTTTGAGAACGGGAGTAAAACAGTTAGTTATATCAATGTTTTAGATAACAAGGTCTTTCAGTTTTCTTTTCTTAATAGAATGGGTTTGTGGAAAATTTGTCTTATTATTGAGACTTGGCCCTCTTCTTACTCAAGCAATCTAACTTTACCAAAAAATAAAGTAAAACAAGTTTGACATGTCAAAGTACTTCTGAGTACTTAAATGAATCCCAATACTTTCATCCATAGCTTTTGCAAGTATTAAAGCTGAATGTATTTCTCTGACAAATCTTGTGCAAAAATAACCTTTAAAAATTAAAAGAGGAGTTCACAATTAAGGAACCACAATGTTATGTGCATGAAGTCAGTTTCTGACTCATGGTAACTATTCAGTACTTCTTTGCTATTAGAATTTTTATGGCAAAGCTTTCCAGTTATTGGAAAACTGAGTCAGAATATGTGTTAATGAAACAGCTCAGCAACATTACCCTAAAATACCTAGGGACAGTACTTTATTCAATGGCTAAAGGTCACCAGGTCACAGATTGGTCTTTAAAATTCAGATTGAAAGTAAAACTTTTAACATCACCATCTTGGAATATACAGACCTATGTATATTTTAGGTTTTGTTGTTTCCCTATTATCACTACCAGAAGTTCCTTCTCAAAATAGCTCTTGGAAAGGATTTAGGGAATTGAAATTTGGTGGTATGAGGTAAGTAAAATTTCTTCTGTGGTCTTTGAAATTTGCTAATATATTTTATAAGATTTATATTTTTATTTCTTATTAATGTTCTATTCTAAATAATGTGCATTAATTTTAGCCACCCCTAATATATTCATAGTACAGTTATATTTCTTCTTTTTCTCTTCACTGAAATTGAAACTCAACAGCTTCAAGACCTTTCTTATACAAGAGAATATATTAAATTTGTATACAGCAATTGAAATAATAAATTGATATTTTATATTAACAAATATAATAAAATAATTTTATATTTTTAAACAATTTAAAATAATTCAGATATCTTTATGCTTCCAAATGTCTTCTTTTGTAAATATTTCTATGTGTTAATTGCTATTCTCCAGGCTCCTGAAAATCTTTCTATTTCTTTTTAAATCCTAAAGTCCCAGGCAAAATATAACCAGTAGTAACTTTTTTATTATTCTAAGTACAAAGAACTAAAAATAATAACTGTACAACACTGACGTATAATGAATGACAAACAAAATATCAATAGCTGAGTACCATAAGGGACTTCCTCAGTAACTCATGAGGGTTTCAACTTCTTTTTAATTTATATTCAACAATATTGTTGTCCCATGTTAACCTTGACTTGTTAAAAAGCTTCTACTTAGCCACAGCTCTGTAATTGCAGCAGCATGCTAAGAAACCCTGGGAAGTGTCCCCAGATACCCAGAAATCCCAAGCCTCGTGGGAGTCAAGTTCCTCATCTTGTATTTATGCAGTCACTTTCATCCTTAAATATTCTACTGTCTTGCATCTGCCCTAATTTGACTTCATTCCTTCGGTTACTAAGAGCTTTTCCTATTTATCAAGTTCTTGTTGCATGCTAATCTACACATCTCAGATGCAGGCCATCTGCACATCTTGAGAGGCTATTCATTGCTGTAATAATGAAACTAGTTTATGAACATGATATATAATGCCTGGACATACCCTGAGGACCCTTTTAGAACAGAATATATGAATATATATCACAATATAGATATAGATATAATTTATGTAGAACTGCTTTTAATTTCTAGAAATACGGTGTATGATGAAATGTTTTGTGTATACTTGTTAAGACTAAAAGAGAAATTGCCTTTCAACATTTCTATCTAAAGAATGAAACAGCCCACTTATCTCTATCCATTTTAATTATCGTAACAAACATTTAGCAAACATTGATATAATTTATGTTACTGCAAAGTTCAAAAATGTTTCGTCCACTAAGCCATATTGGTTGCTTAATGATGAACTAATACATGCAAACATAGGAACCTTTGAATCAAGGATTGCCTACAGCTTGCAAGTATTGAGCTTTAGATAAAGTGACCTAATATGAAAAGAAAACATTATTTAATTTCACTGCCTGCTATGTCACAAGCTAAGACTGCTGCAGAGGATTCAGTTATGAGAGTGGTTTTATTGGCATTGTACATATGCTCCGCAAGGGCAGACCAGAGGCCGTCATAACTATCCAGCAAGGGACCAACCAGCTGACTTAATGTCCTTTCATCCTCCACTGTTGCTGTTAATTTAAATTAATTAAATCTCTGAGAAATCAGCTGGGTTATCAACAAGTACTATAAATAATGTAAAATGCAATTTTTAAATATTCTTAAATTAAGACAGGAGTGAAATGATAACTTGCTTCTCATTTCTGATTTCTGCCTAAAATCACTTCTGATTTCTGCAGTCTGTGAAACTATTAAGTGCCATTACTTGACCTTGAGATTTTCTAGCTATTTATCAAAAGCGTAGATGATCACTAACAACTGTAAAAATTCAGTTATTATTTTGTTTTTAAGCCATGCTGTCCCAAGTTCATAGCACCAGAATTAGCCAGCCCTTGAAACACTTATGCTTTCTTCATGAGAAATTGATCACCAATAAAATACACTTGTCTCTGTGAGGATTTCAGACTTTTTGAATATTTTTGAAATTTTCAACATGATATATTGAAGAGTTGGTAAATAGAAGCAATAGTTTTCATTTGTCTTTTCCCTTTTTTCATTGTCTCTTACAGAAGGTGAAGAAGATGCACAACGAAATTCCACAGAACAAAGTGGGGAAGCCCAAGGGGAAACAGCAAAATCTGAAAGCTAACACCCCACTTTGATAACTTCATCAACACCTGACAATGTCTCAAATCTCCAGGCCTGGCTGGAATGCATTTGTTTCCAAGAGTGAAAAGGGGGGGAAAAAAATGGCTGTGCTGCACTGTAGGAATCTGCTCATTGTCATGTTAAAAATGGGGGCAGAGGCTGTGGCTGCAGACAGACTTTTCTCTACCTCTGTCTTTAGCAATGGTTGAAATCATGTGGCTTGTGTTTGGATGTCATTTTTGTATGGATCCTTTCACTTGACCATATGATAAAACGCTTGTAGAGAGTAGCACAGACCTAGATGATGATTCTTCCTGTAGCATCTGGCCCCTCACAATGTCAGAGGATTTAATTGTGTCTAATTGCAAAAGGTTGGTTGAACCCAGAGTTTAATGATCTCTGGCTCAAGTATTCACCCAGTAAAAGAACCATCCAGAAAGCACTGTTTTTAGCATTATGTATCTGTGTGTTCCTGCTGTGTTATTTACACTGTTTTGTATTGTACAATATAGACACTCAGCACTGCCCCCTTCTTTGATTGCTTATGAGAAACAAAAACAATGTACGTTACTGTGAATTTTTATACCACTCATTTTTAAAAGGGCTGCCTTTCTCCTTCTCCACAGTGTGGTGGTGTACACAGGATAGATCACACTTTTTTTTTTTAACTTAATCTTTTCCCTTGATTCACTGTTGATGGATTGATTAAGTCTAACCAATTCATGAAGACCCCTTTGCTTTATTAAACAGGCATTTGAAAATATCCATTAATGTGAATTTTACTTGAATTCAGTCTGTTTGGTGTCTGCACAGACCAGAATTCAATCTGTAAATTTTGTTTTATTTTCAATTGGAGAATCTTTCCCACTAATATACATTTTTAAATCCTTTAATTATGAGGATTTTGGAGAATCAGGATGGTGGGAAAGTGAATACAAGATAATTTTAAGAACAGGAAATATTTTGTTCTTATGGAATCAAATTTCTCAGTGCTGTATGCTACTATTTAAATTTGGAGGACAACTTATCTGCATGAAGCTGTAACAGATGGAAAAAATTATCTTGCAATCATGTGGACACCAATCACAAAAGTAAAGCCCTTGCATTGTGTTTTTCATGTCTTTTTTCAGCCCTAACAGATACAAATGTTATTATGCACTTTTTAATGTTTGTAAACTTTTACTAATAATTAGTGTGAATTGCATTGTGATACAATAATAATTATCATTAGAAGCTAACAAAATCATCATTAATACTGTTGATAGCCTCTGCTGTGTTTTGACATCATGGTTCTTATATGGAAAGTTTCTGTGAGCTGTTTAATCTCTCTGGTCAGTATTATAAAATCACTTATCAATGGTAATAAATAAGGAACCAGTAATATGCCAGTGGCTCATGGATTACTGGACAAACAAGTAACAGGAAGACCCTTTATAATAAAGGCCCCACTTAATTATCCTTGAGGTCTTACATAGAGTCCCATATGAAGTAGGTTAAGCAGAATCTCCACAGATAATCTCCATGGACATAGAGGGAGCTCAGCCCTTCTCTACAGCTGTACTTAAGACTAACTTTATAGTATGATCCAAATGAGTGGGATAAGGACATGGGTATCATTTGCCCTCAATCATATATTACTAGAAAAAAATGTTAATGGGTGAGTCTCTCAGAAAATAGAAGGAAGACTAAATAATAGAGTACTTCATTCTAATCCACTAGGGTCCAAAGTACCCAGTAAAAATTCAAATAAATGCACCTATTAATAATCTTACAAGCGGGAAAAGAGGCTCCTGAGGCTTTTTTTTTTTTTTTTTGACAATCTCTCATAATCCATTTAAAACATCCAACCCATAAAATCACTCTTTCAACATCCCCACATACTATTCTCATAGCTTTCTTGTGAATCTAGGTAAAGTTCTCTCCATTCTTAAAGTTGTGGAATTACAAACTGATTTCATGTAGTTTTGTAAAGTTTAGGTAAGACTAGTGCTGAGTGTATGTGGAGAATTTATATTCCTATGTGATATATTATTATTAATGCATGTGGTGTCATGCTTGTCTTTGAATATATAATAGTGCTAAATTGCAAAGTCATATGGAGCTTTTTGAATTATTTTGACCTCTTACTGCTACTTTGTCTGCTATATTCAAACCCAGAGGCATTCCCAAGCTGGAAGATAAAAATCTACTTTCCAAAATGTTCACATTCTACAAATGTTGCTCAGCAAAAATTCACAATGTCTTCCAAATTGTACTGTAGTATCTTTTCCTTGCAAGTCAATAATATACATGGAATTGAATTTTTAAGAAGGGAAGGAAAGGGTAGACAACTAAGACATTAGGTTTGATAATATGCATTCAATGCCTACTAACCAATTGACATAATGCTAATAACTTATCAGCACATTTTCTTCCATTTAATTGTTTCTCCTCAGACAATTTGATTAAAGAGGTATACTATCCCATTTCACAGATTAAGAAATTAAGGCTCAATAGAGTATAACTTTTCCAAGTTTAAAAAGCTAACAAATGATGAAATTAAGAAATGAACCTATATTGGTTTGTCTCCAAGAAGCTTTCTACTACACATGTCATAAAACTAAAGCAATTTATAGAGCATATTTATCTTTAGGGGAACATTCAGAGATGAATTGGTTCATTCTCCATTATTTTAGAGAGGGAAAGTGAGTCTCAGAAGAGGGAATTGTCTTTCTCAAGGTTACCTAGATGAGTAATGACACAGATGTGACCAAGTCACAGAAAGACTACATTTATAAAAAAAAAAAAAAATTCAATTAGAATTTATTTTTTGTGTTATACCTGCCCAAAAATATTTTTCTGGCATGTAGTCTATTATTTAACATGGTTCAGCTTTTTTTAATATTCTATGCTACTTGCTTTATTTAATTAACTAGAAACATGACAGTTTCAGTTTTCAACTCATTTGCAATAAATATGAATTTGTCAAATTTATCTTTTATCAATTGTAAACATCCTATGCCAACAGTGTTATCATAAGTCATATAGATGTTTTTCACTAGGTAACAGAGAGGCTTCCAATTTTAGGCAACACACCCAGAACTGTTCACTGTAAATGCCCAAATGCCCTACACTTGAGTCTTATTCAGACACAGTAAAAATGCACCGTTTTAGAAGATGAATGATATTGCTCTTTTTCTTCAGAGAAGCAATAACGGGTAAAGAAATATAACTGCCAGGTAGCCAAGCTTCTGAGTGAAGCTTGTAGTAATAGAAAGACAATGTATAGTTACCAAGTAAAACCAAGAAAGCATCTATGAAATATGATGTCGTGATAGGCCCCAAATTGTTCTTTAATTAAAAAGTAGCAGTCTCTGAAATCATTGTGAGCTTGTATGACTTTTGTATTTAGTAATGTTGCATGCTCACAGAATTGATATTAAAAGTAATACATTTTTTTCTGAAATGTACATAGTCTATGAAGAGTATTTATTGAACATACACTATGTATTTGGTACTGAGAAAGTGCTGCGAGTGATAAAGGAGAAATTTAAAGCCTTGGCCTTCTTGTGGCGGACATACCGGCATTCCAGTCTCTTTTTCTGGGATTTTACTCCAATTTTCACATCCATTACACTCTGGTGGCCCATTTCCTGGACTTCATCATCTACCAGAGCCAACTCTTAAATCATAAGCCCCAATATCACTCCTTTGGTTCTTACTTGCTCATCTACAGGGCAGTGATTTTCAATCAGAAGAAGGACCACTGTTTATCAGAATTCCCTGAAAGTTTTACAACACTCCCTCCTCCATCCATATACATTCTCTCTCTCTCTCTCTCTCTCTCACACACACACACACACACACACACTTCCCCTTTGAAAGCACTCCCTATATAACAAGCATCCTTTTCTGTCCACACTCTCACCTCTACAACCTGTCAATCACTGATCTAGAAAAAATACAGTTTCCAGATGCAAGAGCCCTGTTCATCTGACAAAAAGCTTTAAAATTAGTCAATAACAAAATGGAGTACTCACAGACACCCATGGTTTCACTATATTAAGGATAGCATCGGGACGCCTGCATGGCTTAGTCGGTTAAGCATCCGACTTTCGCTTAGGTCATGATCTCACCGTTCGTGGGTTCAAGCCCCGCATCGGGCTCTGTGCTGACTGCCAGCTCAGAGACTGGAGCCTGTTTCAGTCTGTGACTCCCTCTCTCTCTGACCCTCCTCTGCTCACACCGTCTCTCTCTGTCTCCTAGAAATAAATAAAAAAAAAAAACATTTAAAAAAAAAGGACAGCATCTTGGGTTAGAAAAGCAGAACTTTTATTTTGATGTTGCTCTCTTTTCGTTACATTGTTTTTACCACATAAAGGCAGCAAAGACCAAGCAGAATCCAAGGTGGGACTCTGGAGAAAGTAAGCATCAAATAACACAGCCTGAGTTCAGGCAAGGTCTCAGGCAGTAGGGGTAAAAGAGGATGTAAATCTTTTAAGTTCATCTTACTCAGGTCACAAGGATAAAACAGTAAACAAGGATTTGGAACAAAATGCTAGCTAGTGCAAAACAAGTTTGCATTGTCTCTGGTGTTTTTTCTCTGTGTATATTTGTTGCCTCTATCTAGGCCAGAATGTGGGGAATTGAGAGCCTGGCAATCTTTCACCATGAAGTCAAAATTAACAAAACTATCTGACTATGTAAAACTTTCTAGTTTGCACCATATCTACTTTCTGTTTTTATCAAGATGGGTATTTCCTTAACAACTCTCCTCCAGCCTGGAATCCACTGTTAATCCTTCTCCTCAATGTTCCTGATTGTCTTCCTTTCTTATCTTTCTGCCACCTGTGCCCAATCAAAACCCATCAAACCATCTGCCTTCACTCTACTTGTCTTCAGAATGTCTGTAAAAAGACATTTTTATAACAATGCTGCAACTTCAGTTTAGTCATAAGTACTGTACAGCTCTTTTTTTTTTTTTTTTTTGGTCATGTCCCTCAGGACACAGGAAGTTTCCCACTTCTAAGATGTAAGTTGTCATCATCTGAGGCTTTTAAAACATTTCCTTTCAGGACGTCTGTTAATTATTCTTTTTTCTTCACCAACGTTACCCTTTCCCACAAATATACTCAAGTTCTCAGCTGCCCTCTTAACTTCACTGCTTGTATTTCTGAAAATAGGAATCACTGCTCTTTGCTTTCATGTTTCTCCTCCTTATTTCTTATCCTTTTGCAATTTTACCTCCAATTAAATTTTTCTTATTACCAACAATGTCTTTAGTAGCTTCTGGACTCTCAGTAAGTGTCACTGAAGACTTGGCTAATACGGAAATTAAAAAGTGATGATCTTCCAAAGGACTCAAGCTTCTCCTAAAATAAAATTTGGCGGTTCTATAATTCTAATTGATATTCATGTGGCTATATAATAAAGCCTCCTAAAGGAAGAATTTGTGTATCCCAAGAAACAAATTCTCCAGATTCACAAGTCTTCCATCATATATGGATATGCCCTTTCTCTTCCAGAATATTCTCCCCATAATGTCTGTGACATCCCCACATCCTACAGTGCTCATTTCTACATAGGGGTGGCTGTACATATCTAGGCATTAACCTGGAGACTGGACATCCAGAGACGGGCAAGATTAGGGTGTGATGTTTTAGAGTTCTGTATCCCATTATACTCCAGGATGACTTCCACTGGTATCACTAGCTCCTCTTCACAGCAGCCATGTACAAGCAAAACCACTCAATTTCTTGGTACTAGCTCTCTGAATTAGACCTATGTGAGTATATCAGTCCCATTGGCCAAGTATAATGGATAGTTTATATATGTTTTACTAGTCTACGGGTGGCATTTAATCCTGTTTAATTCTGTTCACCATGGAATCTTTTTTTGAGATGCTTCAGTTACCTTCCTACCCCAACTCCCACCCTCTGGGTGAATGTATATATGTATTTAATCCTTTGTTCCTTTTTCTCTGGCAAGTCCTTACTTTCCTTGACAAGTTCATACTTCTTTACCTCCCTAAACATATGGTTCCCTGGGATTATAGCTTTATTCCTCTTCTCTAATCCCAGTCTTCACATGACTTCTTGGCCAATACAATCAATCACAACTTTTACCATGATAAATTCCAGAGGCCATTCCTGATCACCTGACCTATTGGATTGCTCAATATGAATTTCCCAAAAACATCTTAAAATTCAACATTCCAACACCAAATCCAATATATGAGTCCTTTACCAAAACTGCTTTTCTTCATATGCTGCAGATCTCATATAATGGAAGCACTGGTTTCCCAGCAACTTTGAATTAAAAATCTTTTTTTTTTTTTTTTTTTTACAAATAGTTTATTGTCAAATTAGTTTCTACATAACACTCAGTGCTCATTAAAAATCTTTTTTTTTAATGTTTTATTTATTTTTGAGAGAGAGACAGCATGAGCAGGGGAGGGTCAGAGAGACACAGAATCCAAAGACAGGATCCAGGCTCTGAGCCAGCACAGAGCCCGATGCAGGGCTTAAACCCACGAACCATGAGAGCATGACCTGAGCTGAAGTCGGACTGAGCCACCCAGGCGCCCCCACCTTGAATTAAAATTCTTACAGTTCTCCTAACTCTTCTTTCTCCAGTTTGATTTTCAGTCCATCAGTTCTAATTCTTACCTACTCCTTGAAACTTCCCACTTCTTTTTGTCTGGATTATAACCCTTTAAATCATCACTTATCTAATATAAGGCAATAGCCTGCACACCAGGAACTGCCTCATCCAGCACTCTATCCATTTGGCAACCACATGTATCTTTCTAAAACATGTCTGCTTGTTTCACTCCCCTAATTTAAAAAATTCTTAAATTTAGCCAGACAAAACTTTTTGATATAAGTGCCCATTTTATTTTTACATAACTCCTTATTCTATGTTAGCTGCTTTCCTGTTCCTAAGATGTTCCTCTTCATGCTTTATGGCAAGTTCTCACTGGTCCTTCCAGACTCTGTCCCGTTTCACCCTCTAGAGCCTTTTTGACTTGCATCCCCATCCGAAGCCCCACTCTAGAAATTATTTATTCTATACTTCTTGAGCCTCTAACACTTTATCTGCAAATGTACCTTCATAGATCATAGCTATTTGTTTACATGTGCATCTCTCCAACTTGAATATGGGCTCTTTGAGGGAAATAGCCCTCTTTTATTCATCTCTGTATCCTCATTGTCTATTAATAATAAATATCTGTAAATGAATGTCTGCTTTCTGAAGCTCACAATGTAAGTAAGAAACAAAATTTACACACAGGTTGATTAGGGAAAAATACAATTCAGAGATACAGTTGATAGTTGAAAATAGTGAAGTCTGCATAATACTGCCTTCTAGAACATAAAAACTTAATTTCTATCATCTTTTTCTTGTTTATTAAATAACGTAACTTTTAAAATTTTGTTCTCAGATTGTATGTTGCACATTTGCACCAACACACAAACACACACACACTCACACAGATTTGATAGGACATACAGATAATGAGATGTCCAATAGGATAATGTATGTATAAATTAGTAAATCAGAGTAAGCCATCCAGCTAAATAGTAATCCTGGTAAAGGTATTTCTGTAGTATAAATCCCATTCAGTTTGCTGGAATTGAGAATACCTCCCACCAAAAAAAGGAGGCGGTTGTACCATAGTCTCCTAGCCTAAGCAACACATTAGTCAGAGAACAAGATCTTTGGGGAGATTTTTAATCTTTATAGAAGGGGACACTGAAGTTTTTAAGAATATGCTTCACACTAATAAAACATAATGTACTCTAAAAGGCTAAAAAAATAAGACTTCTGGTAGAATATAAAGAACTTGGTAGGAATGCAGAGAATAAAAAGGAGAAAATAATACAAAGGGACCAAGGAA